CGGATAATTCTTGCTCTCAATATGTTGGAAGATATATAGAAGTTTTCTTAGTACATACGTAATTATAATATTTGCGAATATTTATTTTGTTCTTTTCACAAATCAAAAAGACTGAAAGTGTGTAAACAATTTATATAGAATATTAATAGAATACTTACAATATGGCGTTACGGAATGCTGCAGAATGTAAGATTGAAATATTTTATTGGTTATACAATTATCGCTTTCCTAATTAAAACCTATAATCGGAACTGTGGAAGTCAACTATTATTGTCCCAAATCTGTGTGATTTTTTTGTAGCTTCTGGCTTGTAATTTTTCTGAAAGTGTCTTACCTTAGGAGAAATGTGGTTATATCTCTTCTAGCAAGCACATTGGCCAGTTCATTTTCTCCTGCAATATCCTTATAATATATCAAATTCTTATTGTGTTTCGCCTTCACCTTAAATTGGCTTTACCCTTACTTATAATGGGCTTTTCCGTTAATTATATTGCTTCAACTTACGCAAATAAAATATATTAGATTAGGATTTTATTTGTTTTTGGACTGGTTTTTACAAATCGATATTATACAAATAGAAAAGAACAATAAGGGTGTGAACATTTACCTTAAAAAATTCCAAACTTATTGGGAAGTTCTATGTTGAAGAATGTTGATTGACGTATTGGTTCTTTTGTTTTGTTGCAATATGTAAATGCTTACTATAACTATATAATTACAATAAGGTGGTTTTGGTTCAAAATCAAAGATTGTCACAAATAACTTATTTTTTTATTTTTGAGTATAAAAAGAACTTATATTTCATATAAATCTTCAGTTTAAGCCAAAATATCATTAGAAATAATCTTAATTTTTAAAATTTTTAAATATTTTATAAATTTTTGAAAAATGAAATTAACAATATTTTCAATTTTATTTGTCACTTTATTTGTATTGACATATACTTATCCTGTGACAGAAAACGAGTCACCAGCAGTGGAGTCATCTACAATAAAACAAGAAAATTTATTAGCAATTGAAATTGATGGAAAAACAGAAAGCGATAGCAGTAAAGAAAAATCTGAAGATGACAAGACATCGCCAAGAAGTCGAAGATGGTTATTCGGTGGATTTGGATATCCTGTATTTGGTTATGGTTTTGGTTATCCCATAACCTACAGTTATTATAAAACTTTTGGTTTTTATGGCAAATAAATTTTTAATGTAATTTTGTTGTTAAAGATTTAGCGTCTTATGTTTATAGTTTATGAATACTTTTGTAATTATTATGTAAATTTTAAATAAAAATAAATTTTTGGCTCAATTAATCATTTAAATTAATTAATTAAGATTAAAGATAAAATCGATTTGTTCCTGTGACACCGACAGATAGGGTCATTGAACTCAAAATTCTTATTATTATAATGCAAAGGTTTAACAAGAGAATTAAAATTCGCTCTGTTTTTCAATTCTTTTTCGGCATTTTTTGCTTTTCTCAATATTATAATTGCAAGGTATTATCTTTGGAAATATTGTACTTTAAACACTAAAATATTGGAGGGAAATTATTGATTTCCAAAGCGAATACTAATAATCTTTAATATAGTCATTTACAAATATTTTTAAACTCTAATTACTTTTATTTTAAAGCTCGTCTATGTATCAAATTCTGATTTTTTTCAATATTTATTTACTAATGTATTGATATTCAGGTTGAACTTATTCTGCAAGGCATACATAAGTAATATACAATTGAGATAATTGTAAAAATTTAAATAATCGATTAATCAAATACGAAATTTTGGTACACAATCTTTCAACAGGATTTATGTCTACATAAATTAGCTTTTACTTTCAATATTTACTTAAATCGAAAAAGAATGTTTAATCATTGAAATAATAATTGATAGAATCAAGTTTATGACCAGTTTATTAATATTCTAGAAAGCTTTAAATCTCATTAGGAACCACAAATATCGATTTCGGATTATAGGAAAGCGGTTTTTTTTTTGTTCATTATTTTAATTGCCGAATTTCAGTGCGTCATTTATTTTAAAAATTTGGAAGGCAAAATATGCTTGTTTAAGAGTTTGTTATGGTATTTTTCATATTAATTGTGAATCATTATTATAATTCTAATTTTAAGCGCCTTTTATTATTACCCTTAAGATATTAATGATTTTCTAAAATGGTAATTTTACTATAAATATCCTGAGATTTTTTCAATTGTCAGCACAATCGAATCGATATCTAAACGGTGTAGTTTAAAAACTCGCAATTGATTAAATTTTAATTAATTAAATAAAATTATCTAAATTCGTTAATAGATTATTAAACACAGTATTATACAAAATGCATAGAACATTGGCTTTCGTTTTATTTGTTGCATTATTCGCAATTGTTATCGCTTATCCGGCATCAGAAATCGAAGATAATAATCAAGCTTTATATGCTATTAATGCTGATGCAGTTGATCACGATTCAGTAGCCCGTCAACCTCGTCAATTTGGATTTGGTGGATATGGTGGTTATGGTGGATTCGGTGGATTCCGTCGATTTGGTGGATTTGGTGGATTCGGTGGTGGATTTGGAGGATTTGGTGGCGGATTCCGAAGATTTGGTGGATTTGGTGGATATTATGGTTAAGAAAAAAAAAAAAAAAGAAAATGAATTCTGTTAGTTATGTATGTGTAAATAAAAAATGTATGTGTAGATAAAAAAATTGGATTTGTGTTTTTTTGGCTTTAAACAACACAGGGAGAACAAATATTTTTGATTAATTAAAGAATTAGAAAATATTTTTATTTCGATTGAAAATTTAATTGAAAATTACTTTAAAAACGGTTTTATTGTTCAAAAATTGTACTACTTGTATTATCAAAGTGTGTATAGCTTAAAAATATTTCCAAAACAATGGCTGGTTAACGACTTTGTGTAATATTTTAAAATGGTGTACTATTGTCAGAAAGGGAAGTAAATTATGACAAAAATTTAGAACACACTTGAAAGATCATCGAATCAAAATACAAAAGTGATAAAATTACGAGAATGAAATAAGAAAATCAGTATTCAAAGAAAAGGTTTCAAGAGGTGTGTGCAACGAATCACTACAATAAGTTAAGATTAGAACTCGTTCACATATTTCAGCTTTTATTTTGTTCAAAACAATCCTGTTAGTTAAAGTTTATTACACGATTTCCTACAAAGCTTTTTATAGTTTGCAATAAGGCTAGATTTCCTGATATTTGCTCCGTCGTGTGTCCGAGATTGCATTGATTTTGACAGAGCTTCTTACTGCCTGTCCAATTTTTGTTGACGTCTTCTTGTTTTCCAGTTTGATTTTGTGTATTCTGAATATGAGTCCACGCCCGCACAATATGTAGTGCATACTGTAATGATGGATACTACAGTGTCAAGGATAGGCGTTGATCTTTCGATAAATAGCATAGTGTTGATCAAAATTTAAGTAAGCTTCTTAAGAACAGTTGTTTTATAAATTTGGTATTTCTAAATTTTTTGACAGACTGTTCGGAATTATTGATTTGCTTTATTTATTGAAGAGACAGGTAAGTTGAATGAGTTAAACTATCTGAGTTTTAAATAAGACCGTTTTTTATAGGCACCACTAGGTTTTTTAGCAGTTGTTAAAAATCGTTCACATGAGAACGTGGAAATGATCCAAGGAATATTCGACATTAAGTTAAGTAAATTAATTTATAGATCTTTTTTCAGAAGGTCTCAAGAAAAAGCTTTTTTGACAAAGCACAGATTGAAGGCATGGTTTATGCGATAAGTTATTATATTCACATACGTATATGATTTTTGGTTTTAAATTTTCTACTCAACATATATATTTTTCCTCTGCTTCGAGGTTTCATCTGCAATAGAAATACTTGTCATACGACTTTAAAATTGGGCATATCTTCGAAACTATTCAAGTTATAATGCGAATCACTTCGGGAAGAACCTCTTCAACGACGAACCTAGTAGTAAAGTTTAAAAATCAAAAATGTTTGACGTGGTATGAGTACATTTATTTTTTTATTCTCATTGAAAGCCACAAGTTTTAGCATGTCACAATAAGGGAGGTTATGTAATGACGCCAAATTTCGGATATCGAGTACTTTTCCATAGCAGAAATGCGTAAATAAACTATTTTTAGAGAGATGTCGGTCTGTCGGTTTATCTGTCCGTCACTCGTGTACCCTATGTTTATCTGAAGCGATTTTGAATTCTATACGTGATGTTATTTTGGCTATGTCACGGATTGATCCTAACTTTAGGGATATGTCAGGATAAAGTCAGGCCTCGTGATCCGGCCCGATTTTGCATTTTTATGCATATAAGGAAAAATACTCAATCAATATCATTGAAATTTAATATTTAAATTCGGGGTGCTAAAGCACTGAGCCTACAGATTTATCGAAAATATAAGGACAGAATTGAACTAGGCGTCGATTTTACATTTTTTTCCATATCCACGATACTAATTGATGAAATTTTTTGAAATTTAATATTTTAGTTGTGTTTGTTCTTGAAACCTACTGCCGATCTTTTAAGGGAATTCGAATGGCACAAGAGAAACTCTACTAAGAAGTACATATTTCGAAGAATGTTACCTAAAAGCTTCTCAGTATCCTTAAAATTGTATGGAAGTATTTTAATGGAATTTTCATAAGCTTGTAACACTTTCACTGAACCAGACAATATACATTGCGATTGGTTATGTGCTGACCGCATCAGATTTTTTACATATTGCGTTCCATATTTTTTTCAAAAATAATTAAACAACGCAATTTAGATGTTAAAAAGATAAGCTGCTAAGACAAGTCCAATTCTACTTTTGGTTCATGAATTAGGTGAACGATTATTTATACATATAATCCAATTCAATATCATTATAAATTTCAATTTTTTCACATATAAAATAAGAAATAATTCATTTGATTTTAATTAAAAATTTATTTCTATTCACAAACATAACACATATACAACTAATAAATCACATTTTTTTTTCTTTTTCAACCATAAAATCCACCACCAAATCCACCATATCCAAATCTGCGGAATCCGAAACCACCGAATCCGCCATATCCACCGAATGGTCTAAATCCACCACCGAATCCACCAAATCCACCATAACCACCATATCCACCAAATCCAAATTGACGTGTTTGACGTGGTACTGAATCATGATCAACTGCATCAGCATTTATAGCATATAAAGCTTGATTATTATCTTCGATTTCTGATGCCGGATAAGCGATAACAATTGCGAATAATGCAACAAATAAGACGAAAGCCAATGTTCTATGCATTTTGTTGTATATTGTTTTTTTTTGTTTAGTGTTTTAAAAAATTTTTAAATAAATTCAATTGCGAGTTCTTTGAAACTACACCGTTTTGATATCGATACGATTGTGATGAATATCAAGAATTTCGCAGGATATTTATACTAAACTTAATCTTTTAGAATTAAATTGATTTAGAATAAGGGTATTTACTAATATTAATTAAGAAAAAGGCTTCTAAAGTGTGTGTGATTTACATTTTATTTTAAACAAAAAATTATAACAAGTTCTTTTTGAATATATTTTTGTATCCTCCAAATTTTGACTAAAATGACGCATTATATGGGATCCAAAAATTAACAACAAAAAAAAAATGATAATAAAACTCTCTTCTTTAGTCTACAATAATTAATTCAGTATAGATGGGTCTAATTTATACGATTTTTTTTTGTAATAATTTCTTTAATCTAGTTAATTAAAACAGAAATAAAAAAAAAATAATTTAGTCGCAACAGAATTTATAAATTCGTGTTTGTTTAAAATATTTTAAAATATTGAAGCTTCATTTTTCTAAGTATGTTATACCAATGAATAGCTGTTATATTTTCTGGGAACTGAAAGTGGCCCTAGATAACATAGAATAAACAAGTAACAAAAAATATAAGTAAGAGCCTCTTTAATTTTATATTCTATCTGCTTCGAATCATAATGCTTTTTCAAACTTTGGTCTTTGGCAAGAGAAGTGCAATTGAAAATTCCAATTTTTTTTAAGATTATTGAATAATTTTTTTTGTAATTTTGCCAAATATTAATGATAGTATTATATTTTAATTTACAATATCCGTCTCAGTGTTATTAAAGAAACAATAATATTCAATTATTTGAAAGATGGCTCGCGGCATGCAAACTGGGAGGAATAGAGCGTGGAAAATTATCAGTACTATTTTTATGAAAGATTTTAAATTGCTTTGAATCACCTTCCAAAATTAGAGGTTTCCTGTATTTTCAATTTGATATATGAAAGTTCAAGGTGAGTAGAAGAATTTCGGCAACACTATGTTTTATATACATATTCTTAAAGGGGATATAAAAATCACATCATCTTTGTATTGTCAGGCAGCCGGTCGGCGATTGTTGGCATTCCAGTCGGGTCAGGTTACATCTAAGCTGGTTTAAAGCTGTGCTCGTGCTGTTGGTGTTGACATGAACAAACAGAGTAACGCCCATTTGGGTGTCGGTGCTCAGCAGGCGCAGAGGCAACGAGATTGCTGACGAGTTGTCGCGGAAAGGATCTGAGGTTGTTTTCGTTCTGTCAACTTTAAATTTTCTGTGGAAGGGAATCGAATCTTCGCTGGGAGACTAATCACGCGAAGCTGTTTCTTTTATCTTGCTCAAATTGATATTCTCCTTAGAGGTGTTTCGGATTGAAATCGGGTTCGTGCTGTTACTGGTTGCTTCCACTGGTCATTATCCGGTGAAATATCACTTGCACGAATTGGCCGAAGCGGCCTTTTGTGTAGCTTCTGCCGGAATGATGCCATACACATTCTATGTGACTGTCTTGTTCTGGCTGTTAGGATGTGAACTAGGTTAGGACGGAGTTCTCTCAGTGTTGCAAAACTCACGTCCAACTTCCTGAGATATATATATATATATATACGGGTATTTACTTGGAAACGGAATAGTTTAAGTAGGATACTGGAGTGTTACAATAAGCATGGCTGTCTTCGTTAGTAGAAGAGAAAGAATTTCTTTACCCATACCTTTCTTCAGCAATCTACATTTTACAATGGGTTTTTAAAGTAATAACTTTAACTAACAAGTTATGGAGAGTAAACTGGTTTTCGAATTTGAAATCTTGTTATACAGGATCTAAAATTCCTTAAAAAATAAATTCGAATTAATGTATAGTTATAGATGTTTTTGAATAAAATTAAAATAAATACATAATTAATATTGGTGTTTAAGACATAGTCAGTATTATTATAAAAAGATTCAGTCAGTGTAAAAAAATTGATTTTGCCAAAAAATATATTTTGCTAAAAAAATAGTAGATAATCCCAAAATTAGCTCATGGATTAAAAATTAAAATTAAATACAAAGAGAGGTTGCTTCCCGTGTAAAAATTGCAAGGTGAGTTCAATAAACTTTTGATAATATTAAATTTTTGCTAAGTTTGAATTACTTTAAATTCTGACCTGATGTCTAATAAATATTTTGAATTCTTAAAATTCAATAGTTTTGTGGAAAAATCGAAAAACAGTCAAACTTTCTTTATGTTAAAATTTTCTAATCAAAATATCGTAAATTTTTGCTAATTAAAAATTTAATTCAGTGTAAGAGAATGAACGCAAGCAAAATAGCAGTAGCATTCTTTCCCTGTTATGCTTTATTTCGTCAAAAATATTTTGAGCCAATCTCAAATACTTCAACTCGTGTTGTGCTCGGCCTTCGTAAAATCTTCTTGAAACATCTTTTTATGTCTGAGTATCCAAGTCCTTCCAACGTTCTGCATTTTCTTTCTTTATTACTCAACAAAATATAATCGATTATTAAGTAGACAGCCGATTATTAAATCTATTAAAAGTAGATTTCAATAAATTTGCTACTTTAGAAGAAACCCCATCAAATTTTATGGTTGCAAATTAAGAAAATTCAAATTCAGAAAAACTTTCTAACAAAATTTCACCAAATCAAAATCTATAAAAGTCATAATCAAAATGCAATTTCTATCATAGTATTTAAGGTTACTGTGATCTTATGACAATCATAAGATGAAAATATTTTCAGTTATTTTAATTCAAAGTTTTTTGATTTTTACTGTGGGACATTCAAAAGCCCTAAATGAGATTGAACAATCACTGAATAAGTACCCAGAAAATGTATCTAATATAAATGCAAGAAAGGCTCGGCAAGATGGTGGAGTTGGTGGAGCTGCTGGCGGGGCAGCTGGTGGTGCAGCTGGAGGCGCTGCTAATGGTTTAGGTGCTGGAATTGGTAGCGCAACTGGCGTCTTTAATCAATTAACTCCATTACTTGGTGCTATAACACAATCAGTGGGTACCGCTTTAGGTGGTGGCGTACAAGGTTTTCTAGGTTTGCTACCAAATCCAGCTATGGTAAATAATGGAATTAATCCACTTGGAAATGGTTTATTGGCAAACTTATTAGGTTCTCCAGTCCCAGCCCCATTACCAGTTTCACCTACTCCAAATGTTGGGGTGGCTGGTAATAGCGCACCAAATGCAGCAACTAATATGAATGGAATGAATGGGATAAATACAGCTGCAGATAGAAACGATGGTAATACTGGTAGTAATTCTGGGGGTCTTGCCAATCCTTTGAATACTAACACACTTTTAGGAAATAACGGTTTATTCGCTTTGTTAGCACCAAATCCACTTTTTACTCAAAATCCTACCACAACGAATGCAAATCCTGTTGGGCAACAAAATTTCATTCCAATTATTGGTTACCCATTACAAATACCTGGAACAATTACAAATTCACTGCTTCAAGGATTAGCATCATCACCAGCTGCAACATCTGTTAATACACTTCTTCAAGGTTTAACAACTACACCAGCAATAACTCCTACTAATACACTTCTTCAAGGATTGACAACTACACCAGCAGTAACTCCTACAAATACACTTCTTCAAGGACTAACAACTACACCAGCCGTAACTCCTACTAATACAATTCTTCAAGGATTACAAAGCACACCATCAGCTACTGCTGCCGTGACACCAACAACAACAGCTACAACTTTTGGTAATAGCGGTAATACGATTGCAAATGCGATTGGTAGTGCTGGAAATAACCGTTTTCGTTCTGATCAACTTGCAGCATTAGATTTACTTGATAAAATTCAAACTGCTTTGGCAGCTAATAATATTAATGAAAGACTTTTGACTAACAATAATTTTAATTACAATTTACCTTATCTGTATCGTTCTATTGTGTGATTTATGACATTTTTTTTTTATTTATTGAGTATATAATTATATTATTTATTGAATAAAATTATTTATTACAAATGAATAAAAAGAAGAACTTGTTTATCCCAAGAAAATGTAGGTAAAATGTAGGAAAGGGAAGTCATTAAAAAATTTGTAACATTTCAAGCTTTAATTGTAAAAAAAAGTACAGGAACTCAAAGAATAATATCGATTTATTAACTGCTTGATAGCTAAAGGATTAGTTTGTGTACTGCAATTTTCTCAAAATCGGTAGAAAGCAGAATCCATGTTTTCCAATGACCAATTATAATTCAAAAATATAGAAAAGATATGAAAGGCTAATATCACCAATTATGTCTCTAAAAAGAAGGGGTTAAGTGAGTATTTGGTAATTGTTTTATACTTTTCATCAGTTGAAGATTAATTAAGAAATGTTATTCATAAAGAATTTGAGAGCTAATAAGAATTAGGTGCCAATTGCCTATCGCATATTAATCTAATGGAATAAAGTCGCAAAGCAGAGCCTCTGCCGCTATATGAACCTAAGTTGCAGAAAATAAAAGAAAAAAATCGCATATTGTGATTTGTTAAGCAATATAAAAAAGTAATATGCTAAATCAAAGCCCGTATACATATTTGAACAATAAAATACTGGCGTACATAAGGAAATACCAAAAAAAACTAAAATCAATCTAGAATTTAAAATTTTTTGTAAAATAATTCTCATTTTATTATTATGTAAATTTTGCGGTTTTCAAAAAATTAATCAAAATTTTTTAATTCTGCACATGCTATTTTATTGAAAGACTTTGTTGTTGCTTATAATTTTCTTAAATTCCATGTCTGACCTTACATTTTTTCCTTTAGTTTAGTAAACAATGCGGCATTTTGAATTTTTATTTTTCATTTTATACCCTACATTTTGAATTTTATGCACCATTTTCAGTATTCAACCTATATTTCTTGTGTTTTTCGAAATTTTTCATTTTCATAAAAAATGCTGCAATTTTGATAAAAGGTTTCGATATTTGAAAAATTGTGCTTTGTGTTACTAATTGCACATAATACTAGAATGCAGATTTAAAGCGAGTTAAGATTTAAAATTGAAAAAAAATAGTCGAATATTGTTGTACAAAAATTAATGCCTGATACGTATCATATAGGGTTTATTATAATATTTTTGGTACAGAAATGAGGAACAAAAACATGTAATCAACCGAACTCAAGGTATGTAAAATAACACACTTTCCTGTAATAAATATAAAGTGGTCATCATGCTATATAGGGCATACTGTTTTTAAAGCAGTTCGATCCTCAAAACTGTTTCAAAAGTGTTTTGAAGTTCCAACTCAAAATTCTTACATTTTGCCAAAAATATCTTTAAGAATGAGAAATAGATCGTCGAATTTTTACGCTTTCTAATTTACAAATTAATTGCGGTTTCAACACGATCAGTTATTCAAATTTACTGTATTGTATTATCGGGAATTTAACGAGCAATTGGCGGAAGAGGGAGGAGGAAAAGATAAAAATTTTATTTCAGAAAAAAATTTTCTATTTTCTTTTAAATTTCAGATTTCGGTGTAACAAGCGAATTTAAACTAATATGTCAGTGAAATGACAGACAAGTAGAATGAAACTAATAAGCAAAATATTTTGAATAAGAAGTAAAAATCAGAAACCACAAGAAAAAATACTAAGGAAAAAAAAAATTGTAAACAAAATATAAATCTAACTTGTTTTCGATTTAATATTTTAGAATATGATTTTTGAATACATCTACAGCTATAGCCACTTATATTAAAGGTTCTTCTTTAAAATATTCTCATTAGTGAGAATGACTACTAGTTTCTTTTTTTCTTTGCTAAGCAGTTGAACCTAAATAATATATTAATAATATTTTCTTATTATGATGGTATTGTTGATGACGTGAATTCAACGAGCGTAAAAACCCAACATAAGTTTACATACATATTAACTCTTCTTGTATATTATGAACACACAATCGCCATATTATTTCTTACTGCTCTCACACTTTTTTTCTCTAAACATCACAAATTAACTAAAATTGATTGACCTCAAACTAAAAAGATGCTAATTAAAAAATGATGTGTGATTATAAATTTAAGAAAATAAATGATATTTATACACACATACTCGTACATACATACATATGTGTATGATATATATGTGTTTATGGTTGTAGAATTTAAATAATGTGTATGAAATAAAATCTAAGCGGAAAAATCTGGTTTTTTTTTTAATTATTATTTACATAAAATTAAAACATTACGCGCTAATATTTTTTTTTCATAAACAAACAAAAGGGGGAATCACCCTCGCATGTTAAAAGAAGTAGGTATATTATACATTGTACATAGGAATTCATTTGGTACCTAAGCATAAGATTTATTTTGATTTGTGAGTTTTTTTTTAGTTTTGTTATTTTATTAGACTGAGCGCGTAATTAATGGGTGAGATGAAAAATTTATGAGAAATTTGTTGACATTACTTTGCTAAATAGGATTTTGTATTGCTTGTATCCAATAATTTAAAAAATTTAAATTTAAATGGATTTATGGTTTTGCTTATTAATTTTTGTTTTGCTCATTCAGAATTCAGTTTTCATACCATTTCGACTAGCCTTCCATTCTAGATTGAAGGGGGGAGCCTTTAATTATGATAATTTGCGGATCATTCAGGAGACGCCTTAAGGAGGAATTCTTTCCTGCGACTTAAGGTCATGAAAGAGTTTCTAGTGAAAATTGATGTGAGGCACGTCAAGACAGTTGCATATATGGATGATCTTACCAACTTGGTTTCGGACTTCGACCTTCTAATGATCAGCAGTGTTTTGAAACGATCGCTGATTGAGGTGTTGAGCCATGGAATGAAGACTAAAAGTGAACTCGAACAAAACGGAGCTGGTACTATTTACGATAAAAACCATAATTCCGGACTACTGGCTGCCCAAATTGGATGGTGTTTTCCTCGCTGTTAGTCCGGCGATTAATTACTTGCGTATTTTGTTGGTCTCAAAGCTTAAATAGAGGATTAATGAAATGAGTCAGCGAGGTTTGAAGGGCTGTCTGCACCTACAAGAAAATGCTTGGGGAGTGGTTGGAATTCAAACCTGGCATGGTTATGTGATTGTCGATACCGATTGTGCTACCCTCACATATTGAGCGTTTGTGTGGTGGTTGGCGATGTAGAGGGCACATAACCTTACTAAGATGGGTAGGGTTCAGAGGGCTGCGTGTATTGGTATTGCTAGGACATTAAGTTTGACTTCTGCAGGTACCTTGATCACGCTTCTTCATTTTCTTCCAACGGAATTACATATCGCAAACATATGAAGAAATATACGGAGAATATGATGATAATTTAATTGACACAGAATTTAACGCGGAGCAGAGATGTGTATGATATTTTTGTGTCTCAAACTTGTATAAATAGACACAAGTGTGTGAAAATGGAACTTTTAAGTGTGTGAAAATGGAACTAATTACTAAACTATAACAAGAAAATAATTTCTAATCGTAAGCATCACTCAAAATTTAACAAATATCTTAATGAATAATATTGTCATAATTTGAACGAAATTTGAAGTGAAATTTATTATTCCAGTGAGATTTTAACGAAATAAAGCATAAAATTTTAAAATTTTTTATTGCAGCTATTTAAGAATTTTCATACTATTAAGAATTGGTTTAATTAATTCGGAATTAAAGAAACTTTTTGGAATAATTAATAAAATTTTGAATTCTCTATCTAGTCTTATAGATAGATATTAAATCTTTGATGGTTATTAAAATTTTTATGTGAATATGTAAATATGGCAATAAAACAGTATGAAACATTTATTATTTTGGAATCAGACGCTTATGCGAAAATTACTGGTTTTAGAAATTTAAGAAGAGAAACGATCTTCAGATTAGAATTTTAATAGGATAAAATGTTTTTCAACTGATTATGCGAGGTAAATGAAAAAAATATATGAGTACAATTAGGGATAATTTGGATTAGAAACATTTTATACTAAGGCTTTTATAAGTTATTCGGATTAATAGGTCCGAGCTTTAAAAATTAAAAATTAAGATGTTAGTACAAAAAAATGCGTTTATTTTTTTAAATTTATTGTCAATTAGGCTATAATTTCAGATTTCTAATTAGGCTAAGAATTATTTATTTTTCTACAATTATTTAGTAAGTTCGTAAAAGCAAGTTAACGCAGGATGCTGTTCTAATCTTTTTTTGAGAATTTAAGAAAATAAATTGCAAATTTAACCGGCTGAGCAACGCCGCTTTGCGTATTAATCTAAAAAATATTTTTCGAAAATTACAAAACTGTACCTATTCGAATTAAGCATTAGAATAAGAATTTACCCTTAACTACATTTCTTTTATACAAAAGTCATCACGTAAACAAACAAGTGAAGTTAACGTAAAAAATTATTTTTTCAAGTAGTTGCAAAACAATCTCGCTGGTTGACGCGTTGGTGAATTTTTGATGACGTGCGAAATTTTGCGTAAAACTTATTATTTTTGTTTTTTTTTAATTAAAAAATGATTACTTGATTACCTTGAACCTTCAGAATTTTCAAGTTTACATGCTTTTTTCAGTAATTAAAAAAATTATTTTTAAATTTTTTTTATAGTTACAAAAAAAAAAAATTCTAAATTTTTCTAAAAATTGTGAGTCAAACGTGCACAAACTAATTTCATTGCATCTTGATGAAATTTACGCATTTACGTACATACGCACAAACGTGTTTTTTTTCAATCAACTAATTAAATTTAAAATTGTCATTAATTTTTACAATTTTATTAGGCCATAAAATCACAGTTCAGTGCTGAAATTTTTTTTTTTGCATTTAAAATTAAATTTTGCGTATGATTTTTATGTTCTATTTTTCTTGGAAAATCCGTAAGCGTTTTTTGATGCATTTAAAAAAAAAAATTATTTTACAAAGTTTTGGTGGTGGGGTGACACAGATTTTTTTATGAAAACGATCATAAAATTTATAGTATAAAAACGATCATTTTAAAAATTTCTAGAAACAGTTCCACTGTTGGACTTAAAACTGAAATAATTGAATTTCTAGAGAATTTAAAAGAAAAAGAAAAATGGATTTACGAATTTTGATTTGTTTGAGTTTGGTTTTGACTTTGTCAATGGCCGCCGAAGAAAATGAAAAGAAAGCTTTTGAAAGTTTAGTCAGGCAAACTAGAGGATATGGTGGACATGGCGGACATGATGGACATCATGGTGGCGGCGGATATTATCCACATGGCGGTCATGGTGGTCATGGTGGAGGTGGATATTATCCAGGCGGTGGTCACCACGGTGGAGGTGGTCATTATCCAGGTGGTGGTCATCATGGTGGAAGTGGGCATTATCCAGGCGGTGGTCATCATGGTGGAGGTGGTCATTATCCAGGTGGTGGTCATCATGGTGGAGGTGGTCATTATCCTGGTGGTGGTCATCATGGTGGTCATCATCATCATGGATAATTTTATAAAACTGGAAATTCATCAGGATTCTGAAAAATTAAAGTTATAATGTTATTGTTGTTTTTATATTGTATTATATTGGAATAAAAAAATTAATTAAGAAAAAAAATTTAAATTATTGAAAAATTTCTAGTCATCCGTATGTTTTGGTAGTAGACTTCTTTTTTTAAATCTTAATGAGAAAACAATATTTTGTCACTCAATTTTCACGTAATTTTTAATTAAACTATTAAAAATACATTTATAAAGCCTCTTGTCTCTTGTGGTTTAGAAATATTTTGAATGAAACTGTTATAACGTATTATAAATATGCAAAAAATTTAACGGAAATTACAATCCTTAATTGCAAAAATTATGGTATTCCATTATATAATTTGCATATTTTCAGGCGAATCAAATTAAAAAACTAAATTAATAAATTTTGATATTGCTTTAAAATGCAAAATGGTTATGCTCTGCCGTTATGAAGATAATATTTAAGTTGGTAGTATAATTTCGAATGATTGTGATAAAAATTGCTGATTACAAGACTTTTTATTGATTTTTCCGTTTGAAGTTTCGGTTCCTCATTTTAAGTTATAATGCAAAATGATTACGTTTATATATTTTTCAATAAAAAACTTGGTTGATAGCTATGATGAGAAATACAAAACATTAAAAGGGAACTCAAATATGATTGAAATTTCTGTAATTCGTAAATGAAATGCAATTAAGGCTTTACTGTAAAATAAGAATAATCAATGATATAAAGTCAGAAATAAATATCTTTAATTTCCAATAATTAAATTTACGATCAAATGTAATATCGTAAATTACTTAGTAAACTAAAAATTGATTGTTTTGTGAACCATGTGAAAAAATGAAAAAGTTGCATATATTTAGGCTGATAATATTTTAATTTCAGAATCAAATTTGAATTAAAAAATTTAAGTTAAAAGTTATGTTTACTTTTTTAACAGTTAATTAACAATGTTATTTTTGAAGAATTGAGCATTTTTTGAATTTTTAATCTAAATTTTAACAAAAATTGTATTTAGCCTAAAATTAAAATAAATTTTTTGAAAAATAGTTGATTCAATGTTATAAATATCGAATTTTTGTAATAGCTTTGCAAATGTACTATTCATAATACAACAATCCCACGAAAACAATGGAGTCTCCAATTCAATATTGGTCTCCAAAATTTTTTCTATTATTTCTCCACTCTAAATCTTTTAAACCTCGTTAAAAGTCATCTTTTAATTTAAATTTTGTTAATTTTTTTGTTTTTTTATACCCTGCACTTCGTGAAGGGTATATTAACTTTGGTATGGAGTTTGTAACTACTTGAAGGAGTCATCTGCGGTATGGACATATATATATATTCTTGCTCAGCGTAAAATTCTGCGTCGATTTAGACATGTCCGTCCGTCCGTCCGTCCGTCCGTCCGTCCGTCCGATCGCACGATAACTCAAAAACGAATAATGCAATCGACACCAAACTTTCACAAGTTGCTTCTTTTGTGCCAAGGACGAACCCTATTGTTATTGGACCAATTCGGACAACGGGTTCGGGTAGCTGCCATACAACTCAAAGAGTTTATTTTAAATATTTCAAAAACTAATAAAGGTACAAATATAAGATTTTGTATACATGTGTCCAATTATATTCTACATATGCTCTAAAAATTTTAATGGAATAGCTGCACCGGTTCGGGTGGCTGCCATACAACTCCAAAAGCAAATTTTTTATATTCGGCAAAATAATAAAGTCAGATTCATGAAACTTGGCAGTCATGTGTCCAATTATAGGTCAGATATATTTCTGAAGTTTTAGTGGAATTGCTTGACAGGTTCGGGTACCTGCCATACAACTCCAGAAGCTAATTTTAAATATTTGGAAGAATAATCAAGTCAGATTCATGAAACTTGGCAGTCGTGTGTCCAATTATAGGTCAAAGATATTTCTGAAGTTTTGGTGGAATTGCTTGACAGGTTCGAGTAGCTCCCATACAAGTTCAAAAGCTTATTTTAAATATTTCGAAAAATAAAAGAGTTAGATTCATGAAACTTGGCAGTTGTGTGTCCAATTATAGATCAGATATATTTGCGAAGTTTTAGTGGAATTGCTGACAGGTTCGGGTAGCTGCCATACAACTCAAAGAGTTTATTTTAAATTTTTCAAAAACTAATAAAGGTACAAATACAAAATTTTGTACACATGTGTCCAATTATATTCTACATATGCTCTAAAAATTTTAATGGAATAGCTGCACCGGTTCGGGTGGCTGCCATACAACTCCAAAAGCAAATTTTTTATATTCGGCAAAATAATAAAGTCAGATTCATGAAACTTGGCAGTCATGTGTCCAATTATAGGTCAGATATATTTCTGAAGTTTTAGTGGAATTGCTTGACAGGTTCGGGTACCTGCCATACAACTCCAAAAGCAAATTTTTTATATTCGGCAAAATAATCAAGTCAGATTCATGAAACTTGGCAGTCGTGTGTCCAATTATAGGTCAAAGATATTTCTGAAGTTTTGGTGGAATCGCTTGACAGGTTCGAGTGGCTCCCAACAAGCCCAAAAGCTTATTTTAAATATTTGGAAAAATAATAAAGTCAGATTCATGAAACTTGGCAGTTGTGTGTCCAGTTATAGGTCAGACATATCCGTGAAGTTTCTATAGAATGATTTCACAGGTTTGAGTAATTGCCATACAACAACGAAAGGTGCAGGGTATAATTCAATCGGTTTATACCGACTGAAACGTTTTTACTTGTTTTTTTTTTTAATTGGGTATAAAATCTAGCACTGAATCATTTCGGTTAAGGCTATAAATTTTCGGCCCTCTAAGAAGAAATGAAAGTAAACTGGTAATAAAACATCTTTAAGTAAGAAATAATGCTTTGACAAGGTATGATATTTATTGCGTATATCTCAAGAGAACTCAAGTTCCAGAAAAATTTTTATTTTAATGAGTGTTTGTTCTTAATTTGGTTGAAGAAATCAGTATACTATCGGCAAGCAGATATATATTATTTAAGATTTCTTAAGGTTTACGATACATTGTAAAGATTCCAGATTTGTTAAGAACTCAAATATATTTATTTTTGAATTAATAAGGCACTCACAATATGACTAAAATACAAGTTACAACATATTATGACAAAATGTATGGTTCCACATTTGAATATTACTATTGTTAAAGCAATTTTTCGATGAAATTATTTTCGAAATTTTAACGTTTAAGAAATAATATTTCCAGAATTATATTTCATATTGACATGTTTAAGTCTTCACGAATGTTGCAATTTATCAAAAGAATACTAAATAATTTTTTAATTAATTGTGGTCTATGTCTGTTTTACTTGCTGTTTGTGATAAAAATAAACATTTTTGGTCCAATGTAAGTGTCCAATCTGGTTTATCTATAAATTTCTTTTATTAAATTAATAATATTTTTCACAATACATAATAATATATGCTTTGAATTACCTAAGTTTTTAATATGAGGAGTGTTATTCAGTGCATACAGTATGAGATTTAAATTATGTGATGAAAAATAATGGAAAAACTTTGAGTTATCATTCACATTACTAAAATAGTATTGAAATTTTGCAGCGGAATGCGACTCTGGTGTTAACTGATTTCAGAACTTGGGAGAATATTAATAATTTTTGTGGAGAATCACTCAACATTACGGCTCTTATCGTGCAAATCAACTCACTAGGACGTGATGTTATAAACCCTTTGAATTTTTGAAAAATTAAAATTAAAATAAAAATTCTAATTATAATTTTATTTTGTTAGCAATTTTATTTGCTGGTTTGCTTTTAATTTATTTTCTTATTTCTCTTTTATTTTTTTGTTTTTTTTACAATAAAATTTACAATTTATTAAAAAAAAAAAAAAATGTTTTTAATTTAATGTCATTATTTTACATATTTATGTGTGCTCTCCAATCTACTCTCGTACAATATTATAAATATATATATATATATTTAAATATGTATGTACATATATTTACACAAAAAAAAATTAATATAAATTTTTCTCTCATATTATACAAATGAAAATTATAGAAAAATTAAAATGCCCTGGTTATACATAAAAAAAAAAAAAAAATTTCGGCATTTCGAATCAAAATCACAGAAATGCATTTTACAAAAAACATAAATCTCAAAATTAAATTTAACAACTTAGAATAAAAAAAAAAAAGTACACAATAATAATAATGATAAAAATATGTATGTATGTATGTATATGTATGTAAAAAATAATTAATGTTAATTACTATAGGAGATTTATTTCAGAAGAGAGACAAGAAGAAAAATTATGAAAAAAAATTACTATGTACGTATGTAAAAAAAAAAAATTTTTTTTTTTTGTTTATATGTATGTATGTGTTTAAATATGCTTATTAGATGTATTTATGTGCATATTTCAATAGTATATGTATGTGTGTATATATAGTGTAAAATCAAAAAATGAAAAAAAAAAGATGTTCGAAATCGCAGTGCTGTTTTTTCTTTTCCTATATTTTTTTTGTTTTATTTTTTATTATTTTTTAAAATTGGTGGACGGTTCTTTTAATCTCTTACTATTTTATTATATGATTTTGCTTTTTATATTTCTTCTTATTTTAAAAATCATTTTAAAATCCTCTTCGTGGACCAACTGGTGGTGGTGTTGGAATATGTGCACCTTCTGCTCTATAACCATTTTCATCAGCAATATAATTAATTGTATATACAATACCATCTGGTCCAGTATATGAATATGATCCTTGCATAACCTAAGGCGAATAATTTAAAAAAAATGAGAAAAATTATTAAAATATTTTGAAAATTAAATTTTTATTTTAAAAATTGTAATATTAAAATATTTTTTTTATTATTAATTATTAAAAATTAAATAATTTTTTTGTGGATTGTAGGATGTAGGTGAACTAAAACAATGAGTTTAAATTTCAAGAATAAAATCAAAGATGGTCAGGAGTATAACAGATAATTTTGGGGGATAATTCGATATTCGGATATTGTGTATAAAATTTTTTTTGGAAAAGCTTCACTGGTAAATTCTTATAATATTTTTTCTTCTTTACAGAGTTTGAATTAAAGGCAATATTTTAATTAGTTTAAATTTTCACCACAAAATCTTTGAAAAAATTTTATTTAATATTTTTACTATTAAAATTTGTAAATATGTGAAAAATGAGGTGGCATAATTTTCCTTAAGAATCATAGGTGTGTTAAAGTTTTGTCATTTCAAAATTTTATTTTATTAAGATTTATGTTCTTGGGCGGTTTGTGCTGTAAGTGGCAGTGCTCTTAAACAAATTTGACTGTGTTATAATATGTTCTATATTATTATTATTAGTATGAATATTTTAATTTATATTGTAAAAAAATGTGAGTATTACTGTGTAATATTTGAGATGATTCGCAATAATTATGCGGCCATTTTTCTAAGAAAGATGTTATGTATATTGAATATTATTTTATAGCTGTGGTATAATGCAATTTCTTTTTGGAATGAATTGAAATTTATGAAAACCACAAAGTTATAATAGATTTAATAATATTTTGTAAATTTTTAAAATTGCTTATATAAAATTCAGTTAATTGCCTTAAGTATTATATTGATACCGTCAATAGATACTTTAATATTTTAAAAATTACTACAAATACAATAAAATTTCAATTTTAACAATATATAAAGTGATTGTGTGTTTCAAATAGAAGAATGCATATGTAGCATCTCAATTAATGTAAGCAATACTTAGTAATCATGTAGATTACAGTATAAGGCAATGTGAAGAGCATTTCGTTGGCAATTTCTTCATACCTCTGTAGCTCAGGTGGTTGAGCGTCCGAAAACGGTAAGTCACTGGTTCGAGTCCAGTTCGAGGAGAAAAATTTTATTAGTGTAATAGGCACTACAATTATTAATTGAAGCAACTACATGTTGTATTAGTAATTCAGAATATGTAAAGTTTTAGTTATAGCCTAATAAGAATTGCTATAAAAAAATGCATTATGTTATAAGTAGGGTTAAACAATTCCATAATTTTCAATTCTCTATAAAAATTCTAAAACTGGAATTTGTAAAATGTCTTGCATAATGTGCTTAAAACTTCAGAATTCAAAATACACCGGAAAAAAATTATTTTTGTAACAAAAATTTTTAATCTTAATCATACACAAAATTTTAGTTAATAAATTCTTTTTTAAGAAAAAATTTAAAGAATTTTCAGACAATTTTGCAAAAATATTTTGCATATTCCTACAATAAGCTAGAAGAACTTTTAATATTTTTCAATTTCTTGCTTAACATTTTTTTCTCGGAATTTTATTTTCTTCTTCATCTTAATTTTTTTATTAAACGATTTGCATACAAAAGATTTATGAAATTTTGGACGAACACTACAATTTTATTTTGAATATTTTATAAAGTTGGGTCAAACCAATGGTTTGTATTGTAGCACTTTTCCCTTCAACAAATGAAAATTTTGCTTTTAAATACAGTCTATGTAGTCTATGTACCTATCACACTATTAAAATTATTTTCATTCATATACAAAACTATTTCTAGGGTTGCATATATTTAGGATGAATGATTTATGCAGTCTTTGAAATAAAGCAAAAATTAGTATAAAGTGGGGTTAACATAATGCTCGATTTTAAGGTTTAATTTTGTGAGTTAAGAAAAATAATTATATTTTTTAATTTCATGGAATTTACCGTTAACTTTTTGCGTTAATAGAAATTTGAAAAAGCTTGCGGTTTCGGAAATATAAGGTGTCAAAAATTCAAATTTTACAAATTTCAAGAGGCGATAACTTGAGAGGGGATGGAGATGGAAAAAAATTTTCTTCTAGCGAAATGAACTATTTGATAATGTCTAGAAGCTCCTAAAATTTCAAGCTTCTACAGGCTGTAGTTTGGAAAAAAAACGACATCAAAAATTTGCAAAAAAAGGACTTTAGATAACGGTAAATTTGAGCGGCCATTTTGTTTTTCTAAAGTTCAAATATAGTATGCCGCGCTAGGGGAAGCAAGCCGCTGCTTTTCTGCGTTTGCAAAATTTCAAAAATGCTTATGGTTTCATTGCAACAAATAGTTAAAAAAGGCCATTTTTAGGGTTTTGGGGGGGTATAACTTCTAGAGGGGAGGAGATAGGTAAAAATTTTGTTCTACAGAAATAAGTTTCTAGTAAAGATCTATGTACATATAAAATTTCAGCTTTCTATCTTCAAGGGTGTAGAAGTTTTGTAAACAGACACACGGACAGACGGACGGACGGACGGACGGACGGACGGACGGACGGACGGACGGACGGACGGACGGACGGACGGACAGAGTGAAACTAATAAGCACTTTTTTTCAAAAAATTTTTGGAAAAGTGCTAAAAATGGAATTTTTATTGTTATACGAGTACTGTTATACTGGAAATTTATGCTATACTGGATAAATTGCATTTGTAGGAAATTAATGGCCAGTTAAACTGTACGATTTTTTAATAAAATTTTTAAAAATTGAAAAAAAAAATTTTAATAATTTTAAAATTTCAAAAAATTTTTTTTTTTTGAATTCAAGGTAACAAAAATATTTGTGTGCAATTGGTAGATAAAAAAAAAAATTATTTGATGTGCAATTTCCGTAATTGTACATGTTTTCTTAATTTTTGCTATTTTTTGTTTTTGAATTTTATGAATTATTATGATCTCTTTAAGGTGGTGCATAATTTTGGACATTAAGTTCATTGTTATAAAATTATTATATATGGGATTGGTTTTGTCTAAAATTTTCATATTATATTTTATGTGTATACTGTACACGATTGTGCATATGTGCACGATCTCCATATTACAAGTAAATTGATTGTTGATAATTAATAGAAGATATTTTTCAGATTTGAATTATACACTTAAGAATTGAATTGTGTTTAAATTTTGTAATAAATTTTGTAGGTTAAGTTTATTAATTACATTGTATTATACGGTATAAAATTTAGTGCTTTTCTCAACCAAATGCTATAAGATTGATGAGGCTATATGAATATGAAAATTGTTCTAGTAAATTATTTAGGTTAAATTATGTAATAAAATTATGTTTGAATTGAAATGAATTTGTAAATGTATAATTTAGTGTTTTCTTTGCAAAAAATTAAAAATTGTTAATTATAATTAATAAAATATACAAAATAACTTAGAAATAATGGGAAACTATTAAAGAATTAAGGAATTTACGAAAATTTGATGTCATTTCTTTTTTAGACTAGTAAAAATTGCAGGTTTTCAATATCATAAAATTTGAGCCGTTCACAATAAATTATTGACTTTCAGACAAAAATTAAGTTTTTTATTCAGACAAAAATTAAGTTTTAATCTAGACCTTAATTCTCTTTCTCTCTTTAAAATTCAACTTCAAAATTAGATTGCAAGCGTTCGGTAAAATGTTTGTATGTAGTGTAGAAATATCATACTTTAATGATTTCAAATGCATGTTCATATTGCATTAAAAAATTTTCAATTCTCTGTGATAATTTTCAAAATTTCAGAAAAAAATTAGTGCAATTCGAAACTGTTCTATTTAAATTCAATAAAATAATGAGTTGTTCAGCTTGTATGGCTTCAATATTATAAAAGATTCTTAAAAAATTTTTTTAATTAAATTGTCGAGAAATTGTTGAGACTAGTTAATTAATGATTATCAATTAAAATTTAACCATGTTTATTAATTTTAAATTATAAATTTTAATATAAGATTTTGAGATATAAAAAATTCATGAAATAGAATTTGAATAAAATAACTCTGAATTCGTATATTAAAAATATTAATCCAATATAACAACTATAATATTGCAAATTGCAAAATATTTTTAAAAATAATTGACTAACTGACAAATGCATTACTGACATTATGACATTAAAAGCTTAAAAAATTGAATTTAACACCTCTATTTGGCACACATAAAAAATTGTTATACACACTCCTATGCTAATATAACACAATATAAGCCAAAGTATTTGTGCGTGTTTTAATTTTCCTATATGTACATGATTGTGTTAAGATTTTGAATCTGATAATTTTTGAACGCCTACTTTAAATATAATTTTAGTCGTACAAAATGCGAAGTTATTTAATTTTCTCGTTTTACTCATGTTAACTAAATATAATTGGTAAATTGGACATCCTTATTAATTGTCCATTTACCATTTATTATCAATATTAAGTAAATAATTTATTTGTCATATTATAGCTTTAACATTACATACACTTAATAATTTTTAATTAGAAATATATTTAAAAATATTATTGCAATTGCGGGGTTTTTTGTTTTTTGTTATTACACAATAATATTTACCTGTGCTTCAATATTTGTATTTGGATTCTTTAAATATCCACTTTCATCGGCACGAATTCCATTACTTGTTTCATAACTGTATAGATGGCAGAATAAAAAAAGAAGAAAAAATTTAAGAAAATTTTGAAAAATTTTATTTAATTTCAGTGATTTTGAGTTTTGTTTTTGTTGAGAATTAGCAATAATTGTAATTTGTCATGTTTTTCAGTTAATTTTTATTAGATCGTATATTTTAATATTTTGGTGCAGTTACTTGAATTAAATTAAAAAATATTGTAAAATTTTAAGGAGAGTAACTTTAAAAATTGCTTATGGAAAACTTGCATTTATTAGGAGAATTGAGGTTTATAAAATTTGATTCAATATTTTTTTAAGTTTAAATTGTTTTGGAGAATTAATTTCAGCTTCTGGGAATAGAATTTCATTTTATGAAGGCATGAATAATGAGCAACTTAATAAAAGAGCACATAAATTATGCTGCGAATTAAATTAAAATCGAGAAATTTATTAATCAAACATTCTTACTGTTTAAATTATTTAATTTTGAATTAAACAGATTACATAATATGCTGCAAATTAAGTGTTTTTGATCTTATACTGCATAGAAATTGCAAACATTCCCAAAAAATGCAAAAATATATTTTAATTTTTGCTGTAATAAAATGATTTTTTTATGAAATTATAGTAAATGTTACCATCCAAAATATAAATATAATAATTTTACTACACTTAAAATTTAACTTCAAATTACTTACCCATAAACATATGAACCATCTGGATTTAAATCAAAATTTTGTCTTAAAATAACAGCATCACGATCAGCAGATGTTCGAATTAATGGACGAATTTGTCCTGATGTTGTATTGATTAAAATAGCGGCAATCAAAGCAATTACCTTCATTAATGTAAAAATATAGAAAAGATTTGTTTAACATAATAAAGATAAAAAATTATATTTAATGAGAGAAAAAATAATTTATAATAAAAATTCTTGATTAGAATATTAAAGTTTGTGTTCATTGTTTTCAGAATTGTCTAACAAGAATTGAAAGTAAGCTTGTATAAAAATGAGAAAGAAAATAAATTAAAAATCAAAATTAAAGGTTATACAATAAAGGTCTTCCTATTTATATACAAAAATAATGCAGAATTGCATATTTAAAAGAAAAACAAAAAGAAAAATAATAAAAATAAAATATTTTTGCGTGTTAATTTTTAATCAAGTCAATGAAAAACTGACAGTTTTCTTAATTGAAAATAATCCACAAAACATTCACCTATTCACCATTCACAATATTAAATTTTCTACTGTCAATCTATGTTTGTTTTTCTTTCTTTCTATTTTTTTTTTCTTATTATATTTTGCGTGAGAACTTTATGGTTTAGGTTCATGTTTACAGTGTTGTTAATTAATTAATTCATTTAAAAAGTTAATAAGAATAATAAATTCATTTGATTTATTATTTATAATTTTTATTAATTATAATTATTATTAAGAATTTTTTTTTTAAGAGAAAAAAAAATCACTTTGACCTACTTTTATCTCAGCCCCACTTGAAATTATTTGATTAACATGAAAAATAATATTTAAATCGCGTTTATTAAAAATAATATTTTTTAATAAGAATTATAAAAATTAAAAGTGAAAAATATGTTGAAAAACAAATGATGCCCCTACCCACACGTAAGTACATTTTGTAATTAAATAAATAATTCTCTCTGTGTTTACATTGAAATTTTAAATTGACATCTATATGACATTTATGATTAATCCGATTTGCGTATTAAAATAGCCAGAATTTACTAAGGTTATTGTAAATTATCTGATTAAAATGTTGGAAAAATTTTTTGAAAAGTGCGCGAAGGGAAGTGCTGTGTTGTTGAAAAATGTGTATGTAAATTTTAAAATTTATTGTCATTTAATATGTATTTGATTTGTTGTCAAATTTTTCTAATCGTTAATATTTTCAGTGGTGAATTAAAGTAAGCAACTATGTAAGAAAAAATATTTGCAATTTTCTTAATTAAGTAATTTTTTTTTAAATTCCGCAAAATTTATTTGTTTATGATTTTACTTCTAGTTTTTAAATTTTATTTAAATAATTGTGTAAATAAATGGAAACGAAATTAATTTCAATTAAAATTAATATTTGGTTATGCAAAAATTTATAGGCCTCCCTGCCTTTTTTTTTTAAATTTGATCAAAAATTTTATTTCGGAGCAATTTCAAGCCATTTAAGCAATTTCTAGTTAATAATTAAGTTTGAACGAACAAATAAAATTCCGTATTCGACACTTATTCTGTGTACGCCATCTATTCGAAGAAATTATTACTATGTTTATGTTATTGTTGTTCTTACGTTCATTTGCAACTGATCATTTGAATTGAACGTTTGTTTATTGTATTGTATAGAAAAATATTCTAATTACAATAAAATAATTATAATTATATTTTTTATAAATCTAAATATAAGTGAAATCTCGCACAAAAATAAACAACATTTTGCAAAATCAAAAATTTTAAATCTCGATAATTATAATTTCAAAAATAAATTGCGGAAACTATTTTAGTAACTAAACTAAACACTATATGTACTTAAAATGATAGGCACATTATTTAACAGGCATGAGTGATTTCGTATGTTATAAAACTGTAGGGAATAAGGAAATGAAAAATAATTTTTTTTTTTTGAAATTTTTAATAAAAAATCTAGTTGTTCGAAAAGTATAATAGTGAATTAAATTCAATTATAAGACAAGAAATAAAATGTATGATTTTTAAACCGAAAAATGTAGAATTTTAGATAGGATTTTTTATCATAGACAAAAATACTAATTTAATTGTTTGACCACTACAATTAAATTCAATTCAAATTCAACAATGAAAAATGGTAATTTTTAAAATAATCTAGTATGAAATTTCACTAGTTTGTAAAATGAATACAAGTGAATTAATTAACTAGGCATCTAAAATTATTTTTAATATTTCTCACTCCAATAAAATGAAATTTTTCTACTAAATCTATTCTATAGAAGCCTGTATAACATGTGTCCGAAGTATAACACCCGCAGTATTTCTAAATTAATAATATTTTCATTTTTTAAATGAACTCCCGAATTTTTTTCGTAAAGTCGTGTTGATAATCCTCTTTGAAAATTATTGAACACAAATATATTCTAAATATCCTTTTGTTATCCTTATTATGCGTTATATTTTATTATATATATTTTTTTTCTTCTGTTTAATTACTTACGAATTTCATTTTGAATAAATTTTTTTTTTTTTTATTAAATTAAAATTTAAATTTTAGAACTTTTATTAAAATTCTTTTGTGTGCAATCACGTAAATTTTTCACGTTTATTTTATTTTTAATTAAATTAAATTTTTTGCTATTTAAAAATTTATTTAATTAATTATTAATATTTTTTTTTAATAAATATTTTTATTTTTTTGAATTAATGAATTCGTCTAGTCTTCAGAACTATTAACACCAAAATGATAATGCTATAGTTGAAGATGAGTATCCCATTTATATACCCTTTTTTCATTTTGCTGCTAAACAGCAATACTGCAAAATATTGAATTGTTGATGAGAAAAACTCTTTTTTTTTTTTTTTTTTTGTAAAAAAATTCAAAGAAAAATAAGAAAACAACAACAATTTTAATAAAAAAATTACTCAAAAATTACTGTAAATATAGTGTAAAATACATTACAGTAAGAAAAAAAAAAATAATAATAATAAAATACAAAAAAAAAAAGTGATTCACCTACAAATTGAAATACAACTGCAACAAGAATTATAACAATTACTATAATAACAGTAACAACAACAACGCAACAATAATTATTATAAGAAAATGTTATAACAGTGAATAGTAGAGTAGGTAATGCAAAAAATTATATGTATATGATTGCTAGACCGGTACACAAATACACACATACTCGTACAATATATTGAAAATCACATTGTCATCTCATCATATTTTTTGTATTTTATTATTTTTTTTTTAATATATTTAAAAGTTTCGATTAAATAATTTTATAATAAAAGCTTATTTCCTTTATTTATGTACCTATGTATGTATGTATGTATGTATATAATTTTAATATAAAATTAACCATCTCTTTATTTACATATGCATATATAATATGCATTATACTACATATACATATTCTTTATACTACGATACACCAGCATTGTACTCTCTATAAATGTTTAAAGAGAGGTAAGATTAAATTACAAGTTAATACCTTAATAATACGAGTAACAATAAAAATGCAAGTATAAATTGTGAATTGCCCGATCAAAATCATCAAAAATACTTCACCCAGGAAAATCATAAAAAAAAAAAAATGAGAAAAGAAAAAAACAGAAAAATTTTATAAAAAGCTTTTCATGATCTCTTCAAAATTTAATATGAAAAAGAAAATATAATCTTTTAAATTGTTACACGCACACATAAAACACAAATACATTCACAATTTCACATAGTATAAACTTAAATTAATTGGATCGGTTTGAAGATGCAATTTAAGTGAGCACATTGTGTTTGAAATTTTTTTGTTTATTTGTTATTTTTTTTATTTTTATTCAAGAGTATATCTACTTGGTACTACTATATACTCTTACAGAATATATTATATATACAATTGGTTATTATATATGTATTTGAATTCATTTTATTTGGCGGCATTGTAAACTGTACATGCTTTAAAGCTGAATATTGTGTATGAATTTCAAATTACAGAAATATGGTAATTTATAAATTATGAATATGCCTATCATATTTCTTAAATAATTCTAATTTTTTTTTTTGTTTTCATGGAAGTTTGATTGTCAAACCATGCACCATCATACAAGAATTATGTACGTATAAGAACATAGAATAATAAATTAATAATGTTATTGCAACTAGAAGATGCTTAGATAAATTTGCTTCAGATTATTTCTAAGTGTATATTGGTAAATATGATGAAAAATTTTGTTTAAGAATACGGGCTCGTCACGTTTGGTAATTATTAAAGAATGTTATTGATTTAAGAGTGTTCTTAGTTAGCTGGTCTAAGAACTTGTTATTTATTAAAAAATTTAAGTTTTAATTTAATTGTAGAGGAGATTTGTGAATTCTAATATATTTTAAATATATTTTGAAATAATATTTAATATTTTGTGTTAGATTAAAATTAAGGGGAATTGCATACGACAATCCGAAACTCGTTCGGATAACATTTTGTACGTTCAAACATTTTGTATGATGTCATACAAATTGTTATTATCTGTTTGAAGACTTCTATTGTGCAGTACAAATATTGTAACAAGCTTCCGAAATATTTTTATTGAATTTCTGCCAATCATACAATATAGTAATACATTCATAGTAATGAATAGCATATTGCATAATCACAGTATACAACATTGAGTATCATACCATAATTACTGTTTCTTCATAATAGAAATCAAATTTGGAATTTTATAACTTGGAATTGATTTCAAATTAATGAAAAAAAAAAGATTATTATCTAAATTATTATTTTATAAATTAATCGCAGATGTTATGTATCTGTACTACATACATGTTGTAAAAAAATCGTACATACAAATGTATGAAGGTGCGATACGATCTTTCAAAGCAATGTCAAAAAAACAATGCATACGTTGCTCTTTTTTTTATAAAAGCCAAGATACCGATAAATTTAATTGTTTCTTTTTTATATAGGTTGCTTCTGTTTTTATTTCTTTCACATAATATTTAATTTATCGTAAAGAAATGCACGTAAAAGAATTTAATTCAAATTTAATGCAAGTTTTAATTTTTAAATTACCAAACAAATATAATACGGAGCAGAACATTAAAAAAAAAAACAGAAACAATTTTTGAAAAAAACCAAATAGAAGCCCCGTTTCACTTATAGAGGAAAAGAGATAAAAAAGAGTTCAAATGAAATCGAAACTGTTCTACAACAATAGCCTTGATTAAAAATCAAAGAAAAATTCAGTTTTCTTAAATTTACGTGTAAGAAGTTTAACATATCTAAAGCGCTTGGAAACACTTTTTTTAGTCAAGCAAGACATTTGAGTCAAAAAATCGTAAAAAAGAAGAATGGAATCAAAATAAATAAAAAATAGCGATAAAAAAGAGAAGTAGAAGAACGGAAAATTTCAAATAAGAAGAAAAGAAAATGAAAATTAAGAAGAATTTTACATTAGTGCTATTAGTGGATGCACAGTGGATTATACTGACGCCAATATTATGTGTAAGTGTAGCTTGTACAACTTTGAGAGAATAAATTTTAACTCAACACTATCATCATCAATCATTACAATCATCATTATCATCATTTTAATATGACATTCATACAGAAAAAACCCACCTAAATCGTGTTAGGTTTTTTTTCATATAAAAACAAAATTGTGGTCGGTTCGGTTGTGTCAATTTATTGTTACTAATTTTTCTATTTTTCAATATTTTTTTTTTTATTGCAAACTTGTAGAAAAAAGTTTTTTCTATTTTCTATATTCCACAAATTTTAAAACGTTTGGAACTTTATTGTGCTCACATTTCATTCGAATTAAAAAATTTTTGAAGATTTCTTTTCATTTTTATGGGAAAATTTTTACTTTTTCGTAAAAAAGCAAAAAAAAAATTCAAAATTTTGCAAAAAAGAAAAAAATTTTCACCGCTCGTACAAATTTTTTTTTTATTCTATTATTTTTCTAATCGTATATTAGAAGAAAAATGATTAATGAACGTGCAAATAATGAAGCAATCAATACCTTCAGTTTGAACATCAATAGAATTAAAAATTATTTTTTAAATTGATTTGAGTTTCTTGCATAAATTGTTAAGAAAGTATATTTAAGAGATAGTGCCACACAATATTTTACGAGATTCTTGGTATTTAACATTTAAGCTTAATTGTTTACGGTCCTAGAGCAAACCAATTTTCACTCCCCAGTTCGCATCAGTTTAAGATTCTGCATTCATTGCTACGAGTATCACAATTGTACGATGGGAGCATGCGAAGTATACATCATTATTGACCGGATCATAAAAAATTGAAAAAATATCTTAAAAGACGTAAGACTGCCGTTGTTTGCCATCAATTTTTCTAGCTATATGCGGCCGAATAATAAACCTACTGAGGTAGTTTTATATCTTGTGGTTTACTTGTATTAAACTGCTCCTTTTTTGTTTGAATATCTTTCTTGACAGTCTTAAATGACAAATATGACAATAATCTTCTCCTCATATTCTTTTCGTGCTATCTTTCTTGAACTGTCGACATTCTAATCTGTGATCATTCAATTATATTGTTATTCTTTAAGTTATTTGATTCAATTTAGTTTGATCATACTGAAAGTATGAAGTGATTACACTTCTCTACATCAATTAATAATCACTTCATCCTTCATTCCAATATAAAATGTTCCATAAACACACAACGTATGTAATCGCGGAAGGTCTATAAAAATACTTTTAGTTTCATTATAATATATCAAAAAGTTCGATCAAACTGTATCATACCATTAGTATGATAAATTTAATAACACAAATAGTGCAATTACTTTAGTAATAAAATCAAAAATCTAATTAAAAATTTGAAGAAATGAAATAATTTTATTTTAAAGCACGAAATAGATTTTTTTTCCCCCGATGCAGTTCTTACGATTCCCAAAAATAATTAGTTAAATAATGTATTGAGAAATTAGAAAATATTTTATTTTCAATATTTTAAATTTCACAATTACCTATATAATTTATAAAATTTTTAATTAACTGCAAAAGTTCACATAAAATCTCATATTGCCGCATATAGCTCATAGTGTACTATTAAATGTACAATTATTATCTAACAATTATACCATCAGACAACCAATTATATTAATAAATGAACCTACATCATACACACTTTATATATCATATATATAAAAAATCAAATTAGATTTAAATTGAGAGCTATAATAGGATGCAACTGGACTAGAATTTCGTTTATGAAACGAAGAAAAATCAAAAAAGAAAAAAAGACAAAGTGATCACACCCTTTTATACCACCAAGGTAATCTTCATAAAATATTAGCCAGGAAAAAATAACTGTATATATGTATATTATAAAAGAACAAATTAATCTGAGAAAAAAAAAAATAATAGACTAACAATTTCTAAGGCATTTAAGGTGTTGTTCAACTCTATTCAGTTTCATAGTTATATTCTGTTATATAAGTAAAATGTATATAAGTACAATAAATAATTTTAATAGAATCTACAAAGTTACAACAAAAAAAAGATGGTACAATTAATATTTATTAATAAAAATTAAATTTCAAATAATAAAATGCTATAAACAATTTAAATTTTAAAGAAGAAGAAAAAAAAACAATTTATTTAAAATATAAAAGAAGATAAATTTGAAATTCTTTTATTGTAATTTTTTGTTTTTTCTTTAAAATTTGAAATAGATTATCATATACGGTGGATCCCAA